AGGATAAAACCAAAGGGAACATGTTTTGAAAAACATGTAAAGCAACTATTTGGTTTGAAAAGAAGGGCTTCTCTAATGGGATTTAAGTAAACAAATGAGCAAAGTTGACTCTGTTGTTCTTAAAGAATGACAATGGGGCGAGGTTGCAGGTAGATCAGTCCGCCTTGTTTTTATGGGTCTGCCAGCCTTACCGGCAGTCAGCTCCTGAAGGACCACAGCGAGGCAAAGTCACAGCCGCTGAACTCAGACAGGGAGTTCTTGCAAATCCAGGCTGGCAGAAGCCAGAGCCTGAGGGCTGCAGATCAGAGAGTCCCAGCCTCAACAAGAACGCAGACTGCAGGACAAAGTGATCCCTGAGCCAAAACGGACATTTCAGGCTTCCACCCCTGGAAGAGGAGCGAGCTTTTCTTACCAGTCCCACACAGAAGAAGCCCCAGGATCCCAAACACACGCAGTGGTCTTTGGGAAGCCCCCGGTCTCCGTCACTATTCACTGAGCATCCAACGTGTGTCCGCTGAGCGTCTATGTCAGAGAGCTGGCCTTCTCCTCCCGGGGCACAGAGTCAACTCTCTCTGCTCCTTCCCCAGGGTGCGCCAAGGAACGGACAGAAAGTTGCAGGGATAGGTCCTCTGGCTGTAGCCGTTGGCAGGTGGAGAGTGAGGGTTCGCTGGAAAATACACAGCAGGTTTGGACCCAATACACTGGGCCATCCGTGTGGGTTGTGTGTACCTTCCCAAAACGCAACAGTGTTCTCAGATGGTAAGGATGAAGCCCTCACCTTTGCAGCTCTGGAAATCTTTGGGGTGCTGGAGTCTGGCCAAGCTCTGGGTTTTCCTAAAGCCGGAGGCCCTGAGCTTGGGCTGAAACAAGTGTCACTCTAAAGAGTGGGCAGCATAAGGCACCCAGGGTACTCCTCCAAAGAGGGAAGCACCAAGGAAGGTTTGTGGGTAGGTAGACCCTACAGGGCTAAGCATCTCCTGCGGAGACCTTTCAAAACACATTACTGAATACCATACCCCAGAGATCCAGATTCAGTGATTCTGGAGCAGATCTGAGAATTTATAGTGTCAATAGCAAAGTCTCCCTGTAACATTGGATCACCCGGCATATTGGGGTTGTACTGAAGAAGTAGATTGAGTCTTCGTACCCAAACACTGGGAAAAATCACTCTATCTTTCGGAGCCTCATTTTTTCCACTTGTTAAAAAAAAAAAATCAGGATTTGGACTACACCAGGGGTTCCCAGATGTGGGAATTATGAACTGGGAGCTTAAAAAATAATCTTGGGAACTGACGTGAAGATCTGAGACCCCAAACTTTATTTTGGCAAGTAAAGATCTAAAAAACAAACACAGAATTTTACTCCCTCACCCCCCACACTCTTTCTCTCACAGAATAAGACATTCAAACCCTAAAAGTTAGCCAGATGGCAGTCTCAGACGGAGCAAAGGATCATCCTTTAAATGTGATGTCCTGGGTGTGGCTTTCTGCCCGCCGGGCGTGGACCAACAAACACTTGCTCCGGACCAGCAGGGGGGAAGCCCTGGGCCCCTGACCACCAGGCTGCCTGCCTCTGATTGGCAGCGACTCTCCACCACCATTCCTGGTCCTTGATTGCAGTGTCCGTCGTGGTGGGAATCATTCCCCTCTGCATTTCAAAATGCCCTGGAGAAGTTTAATAATCCACCTCCTCGGGGAACAGTGCCCTCCGCACACCCCACGGCCCTTGCAGGCCCCACCGTGGAGACCAGATTCCCCAGCTGGCTGCCTGTTACACAGCTTGTCCTGTGTCCACCCCCATCACTAGATGATAGCTCCCCGATGGCAGCTACCACCCCAGGGTGCATAGCAGGTGTTGGAACAAAGGTCTATTGGAAGTGCCCCAGAATCTGCTGGTGCTTGTATGATCTGGAAATTTCCACCCCGCTCTCCTACTACCCGAGGATTTCTATTGACCATCTCAGTTTAGGGCTCTAACTCAGGTGGCTCTGGCCCTATCCTTCACTCACATGCTGGGACTTCGTCCACAGGGTGGATGAAAGGAACAGCAATGACCTCTCCGGGCCACTACCGGGAGAATCCCCGGTCATGGGCATGGCCCTTTACAGCATCCTGCTCTGTCTCACTAAATACACCATGCTCTTCTGGGGCTCACAGGATGCCTTTAGCATCCAAGGATCACAGAAGTGGATGTGACACGTACAGTTAATCTGGAGAGCCTTCGCCCCTCCTATGGGAGGCAGGGGACACTGGCGCCCCACTGGTCACCCTGGTGAGGGGGGCTTCCTCCCTACTGTGGCTTCCAGACGTCACCACTCCTGAAGAGGTGGGGGAAGGATAGGCTAGAACCGCTTGCTGCCATGTGCTGAAAAATTTCCAGTAAGCCATGGAGAAGAGAAAAAAAACAAACATACGGAATTGAAAGCAAATTGGGATCCCAGAAGCAAGGAAAATAGCCAGTTCCCGGGGAGGGGGGCAGTCACTTCTCTATGCAGACCAGATCCGCGTGTTTCATCTGAGCCCCCAGGACGACAATGCCCTGGGTGGGGCCCGCAGAGGAGCCTGGTTTAGAAACACCACTGCGGCATTCCTATATACATGTATTTTATTCTTTATACACATACTAAATATATATATTCTTTATATATATTAAATATATTCATATATCTTGTAGTTCTTTTATTCTTTAAGTAGCCTCCACACCCAACATGGAGCCCAGCATTGGGCTTAAAATCACAACCCTGAGATCAAGACCTGAGCCAAAATCAAGAGTCAGACACTTAACTGACTGAGCCACCCAGGCGCTCTTTTTTATATATAGGTATATGTATGTATGTATATATATATGTATATATATACATATATATATACATTTATTTTTTATTTATTTTCTTGCATTTCTTTACTCATAACTCCAACTTTCTGTAGTTCTTGGTCTAGGCACCATGAGCACCATCAGCACAAGCATCATCCATCAACATCCCTTCCAGAGACCATTCACAGGGGGCCGTGTTCCTGGATGCGTGTCTCTGGAGGAGTGGTCCTGGAAAGGCTGATCAAGTTCTCTGAGGAAACTAAAGAGCCCTGTCTTCTAAGCCCACCCTCCAACCCTACCTCCCAACACACACACTCTCATCGTCTACCATATTAATGTGTTCTAAATTGGAAACTATGGAAATACCCAATCATGCTGAGGCTTTCATGTGTTTCCAGAAAAGTATCAAGTCCTATGCCTGGAAAAGGATCAGTACAGACGATGCATTCCTCCTGCCCTCTGCAGACACACCGCTCCCGAGCCACACTGGGGAGCTGAACATCTCCAAGGTCCCCAGAAGAGGAATGCCCAGACCCTTCTCGCTGTCCCACTCCAGTGTTGGAGAACCTCAATGATCAAAACAGCCTTTGGCCTTACCAGGTCATTCTTTCTGTGCTATAAGCCCTGCTTCTTGTTCCATTCATAGCGCACATGGTGAAAGGCTTAAAATTCAGTAGCAAAATGCAATGTGAAGAGAAAAAGTGTTCAAGGCATCAGAGAACTGGATTCCATGCAAGGCTCTGAGGCCTGGGACATGTTTTCTCTATGCCTAAGTCTTCCTCTAGACAAGAGTACTATCTTTCAAAACCACTGGTGGCTCATGACATCTAGTTAGTGGACTGAGAAATGAAACAGAACAGGAAATGTTATGGGGCATCGAGTGCGGTCAGGATAAATGTCCTATCCCCAAACGTTTCCCCTTCTGTATTTACGTATGCATACACTGAATCACAAAGAAATGTACTTCTTGCTGTGGATCACGGTCAAAAATGTTTAAGTCACTGGATTAGAGGATTTCTAAGGTTGCTGACACTGTTTCCTCAAGTCCTTGTGTCTCACATGGTTGTGAGGGTAAACTGAGCAGGTGAACATGAAAACGGCTCAGGGAAGAGGTTGTCTGTCTGCACGGACAGGCCCCGCAGAACGGCTGTTCTTGGACCCTGACACACATCCACCCCCATAACCAGCACCAAACAACTGAATGAGAGCAGTTTCAGACCCTATTTTAAAATCATTGCAATATACTTATCTGCACATGGAACCTTCTAGCACTTTTGGTCCCCAAATCAGAGGTGATAAAAAGGAAGTGCTTGATAAGCATATGCTGTGTTAGTCTGTGCCTGGATGAATGACAGACGAATGGATGGATCCACCAATTAACCAACAATTAGTTAAGACATGACCCCGTGTTTAACGAGTGATTCTCTCAAGCCATGGTGAATCAGCTGGTCTCTGGACACACGTTAGCAGGATGAGGCCCCGAGTCCCACTGAAGCCAACCTTCCCCCTTACTGCACTCCCTCCCCACTGTGACCCTATGTGGATGTGTACATCGAAATGGCTGCCTCCAAAATGTAGAAGACAGAGCTGCCCCAGTGGAGGGGATGATAATGTTCACCCACCCTCATGTGCATCAGCATGGGGCCCGAACCTGTGGCTCTAGGCTCCCCAGAGGAAAATGACTCATCCAGACCTTAAGGGGTTCACATGCAGATGGATGCTGGAGATAAGAAAGGAATTGTCAGGGGCGCCTGGGTGGCTCAGTCGGTGAAGCGTCTGCCTTTGGCTCAGGTCATGATCCCAGGATCCTGGGATCGAGCCCCGCATCGGGCTCCCTGCTCAGCGGGAAGCCTGCTTCTCCCTCTCCCTCTGCCCCTCCCTGCTCGTGCTCTCTCTCTCTCAAATAAATAAATAAAGTCTTTAAAAAAATAAAAAGAGGGCGCCTGGGTGGCTCAGTTGGTTAAGCAACTGCCTTCGGCTCAGGTCATGATCCTGGAGTCCCAGGATCGAGTCCCGCATCGGGCTCCCTGCTCGGCAGGGAGTCTGCTTCTCCCTCTGACCCTCCCCCCTCTCATGCTCTCTCTCTCTCTCATTCTCTCTCTCAAATAAATAAATAAAATCTTTAATAAATAAATAAATAAATAAAATAAAAAAATAAAAAGAGATAAAAAGAAAGGAATCATCCATGCGAACTGAGGAGGAAACTCGGATTTATTGAGCACCTGTTTGTGCGAGCGTATCAGGTACACACATACACTCAACGCACTTTATTTCCAAGGCAGAGCCCTGGAAGCACAGATGTCCCAGCTCCGGCCAGTACCCTGACCAACTGCCCAGCATCAGGAAGACACGGCAGTGGTCACCGGACCTCTTTATTTCACAATTAAAGGGAGACCAACTGTGAGGAGCTTGAAGGAGTCCCATCCATGGCTCAGAAGCCGGATTAACATGCTTCCTCCATACCAGCTTCTGTCTTTGGCTGGACACAGGATGCCATGAAGCCTCACTGGCTCGAGTGCCATGATTTTGCATCCGAGAGCCTGAAGCAGTGAGGTGGCTGAGTCTGCTCCCCGAGGACCGATTCTGGGTTCCCCGTGTGCACTTTCCATCAGGCAGCGAGGACATTCTTCATGTCTGCACATTCCTTCGCTTCCTGCTTCACGTGTCTCTCCTGGGAAGTGGCAACCCGGGCATGACCGAGAATAGAAACCCATTGCCTCATGTTTTCAGTTTCCTTTTGAGGAAAGAGGTAAATTTGGCAAGTGTCTTCTGGTCAGGATTTCATAGCACCAAGAGTTTCCTTAAAATGGGCAGCTCCACGTCACATGGGCGCCGTGAGAAAAACCGAGAAACAACCCACTGCCCCACGGTCATGTTCTCCCAGCCTCAGAGGAGAGGGGAAAACTCGTGGAGCATTATCATATGAAATAATAATAATAATAATAATAAACAATAATAATAATATTAATAATAATCTGACCGACCGGCAGCATCTGTTGGTTTTAATAATGTTGAGGTCTCTCAAGAAAATAAGACAAAAACAAATGATAAAAGAAAAAAAAAAACATGTGGCTGTAATGTTTCAAGACCTCTGGCTTCTTATCAGGCTCTGAGTTCAAGTTTCAGAAATCCACTGCCGCCTCTTGGTATTCCGGAATCTTCTAGGGGCCCTTCACGTTAGCGGGCTGGACAGCGAGGCTGGCGAAGTAGGCACACTGGGAGGGGTCACACTGGCCAGGGGGCCCGGGCGGGCCTGGGGGTCCAGGGTGTCCTGATGGTCCTGTCTCCCCTTGAGGGCCGGGAGCCCCGGGGAGCCCGTCTTTCGCATAGCCAGGTTCCCCGGGTTGACCTGGCCCAAGGAGAAGAAAAAAAACAAACAAACCAGAAAGTGTTCAGGATCCTTCTGGGGCAAACGAGCCCTGCTCTCATTGCTTCCATTCAGTACCAGCTGAGGACCAGAAACGTCCTCAGGGCTGGGAACTCTGCCTGGGGCGATCACGATGGTCCACAGGGGCACGGGGATGCCTTCACTGTTTGGAGTGGGGCAGCAATCAGGGTGCCCCTGGAGAGAAACCAACAAGGGCAGATGGAGGGCAGGGGTATGGGGCGGACAAGAAACACGGCCTTCTATGTTCTCACATGGTTCTAGGAGATACAGTTGAATTGAGAGGCGGACACCAAGTCCTCATCATTAACCGTCAGCCCCAATCCACGTATCCTTAGAGATACCTGATGACGTTCTATTACCCAATATCCAACTTGTCCTAAATCTTCTGTAGTTTCCAGGCTGGTATCTGTATGTTAAATGTGAACTACATACTTGGACCACATTCACCTATTCTGTAAATCATGGTCAAGGACAATATAAATAGGATCTAAGTCACTGACAAATAACCCAAAATTTAGACTCAGAAATATTACCTATAGACAAATGTTTATTCCTCCATTTATTAAACATCATAATTTCATATGTAATCAATCTATATCCCTTTTTGCTTTGGCCACTGGGAAGCTCATTGCTAAGTATATGCCTAACCCTATTACCTCTTAAGTCACCATGTTAGGAAATCTGAGTCTCCTTATAAAAGAAACAAAAAGGACATTTTCCCCTTAAAAAGATCTTTAGACATTTCATGAACTCTAAAATTCATGAACACTTTGGTAGTCGTTATTTAATCTCTATGGTCCTGTCTCGACCAAGCCGGAGGCCAGCAGTGTCACTGACTCCTGCAGAGAATCATTGAAGAACAGTCATTATCTCAAACTTGCACTCATACAAATATTTCCTCTTTCTAAACGGTTCTGTTCTGCCTTTTAATCTTTATTTAGAATTGCTTTATTTTAAAAATATCCTTGGGGCACCTGGCTGGCTCAGTCAGGGGAGCACATGAGTCTTGATCTTGGGGTTGTGGGTTCAAGCCCCACATTAGATGTAGAGATTACTTAAAAATAAAATCTTAAAAAAAATAAAAATGAAAAATATTCTTAATATTAGAAACTATTGGAAAGTAGGCAAGTTGTCAAAAATAAACACTGAACATGTATTTTTAGTTGTCTTCTCTAGTGAGAGTAGCAACATGCATCCAGTGCAGGAAATTTGGGAAATCAAGATATAAATACTAAATTAGAATGACCTATAGGTCTCATATTCAGAAATAATCTCAGGTGATCATATAAACTAGAACTAAATAACAAGAGGAACTTCAGTGCGGTGGAATTTGGTAATAATAACTCAGTCTAATTTCTTCCACCTTCTACTCGCACCCCTCATCTTGGGCCACCCCACTGCTGTGCCCCAGAGATCTTTCCACACAGCCAACTTGTCCAGGTTGTCAAACGGCGAGCCCCACATCCCAGGGAGCCCTCACGCCCACCCTGCCACCTGGCCAGCACATCCCAATGTACATTCGGAGAAATACTAATGGGGTATCAACACGTGCACAGATTGGACTTTCAAGCGAGTTGAGAAAATGCCGCCATAAACAAAATAAACATCATTTGTTCCTGTGAGGCAGGGTGTAGGAGAATTCATGAGTGTCGGGAAGGAGTCAAGGGGTGCACGGTTCCCCACGCCGCCCAGTCTTATTTAACCCCAAGTCTGTTTTCCTCAGGACTATTTCACAGGATAAACCGCAACAACTCATGGGATACATACACTACAGGTTTTTTGGTAAGTCAAGAAGCTGGCGCTTTAGAAAGATTCGATAAAAACACACGAGTGATCCTCTCTCCTCTCAGATAAACCCAGCCTTTCTTCCCAGACACCCCTGCGGCGCTGCAGTGTGTCACTCCATGGCGGAGGGCCACCCGCCCCGAGACTCCGGACACTCTCCCTACCTGGGATGCCGGGCAGGCCCATCTCGCCTCGGAGGCCAACGCCAGGTGCACCTGGGTCTCCTTTGGCTCCTCGCTCACCTGTGAGAGAGACACGCACCTTTGGTGGGAGAGACCCACGGTGAGGGCAGAGGCAGGGAGTGGCCCCGGGAGCAGGTGCAGGATCAGCACGGGGCCGCGACAGCCTTCCGTCCGAACCGGCCTCACTCACACGTTCTCCACACTGGGACTCCGCCAGTTCTGTTCACACTCATTTGACGTACACTCACGCTCAAGCATGCACTCAATCCAGATACACGCCTGTGAGCACCAAAGTAAACGGACACCCCTCTTAAATGCACGCTCAACTACACATCAACGTTGGTTCAAGCACATAACTGGTTGATTACAGGCACACATATGCACATTTATTTTTTTAAGATTTTATTTATTTATGTGACAGACAGAGACACAGCGAGAGAGGAGCACAAGCAGGGGGAGTGGGAGAGGTAGAAGCAGGCTTCCGGCTGAGCAGGGGATCCCAGGACCCCGGGATCATAACCTGAGCTGAAGGCAGACGCTTAATGACTGAGCCACCCGGGCGCCCCATGCACATTTACACGTATGTTAGCAAACATATATGCACACTCATATACACACACAGGCTCACTTAAACACGGGCACACGGATACGCACAGCCGCACGCTCTCTCCCGTGCACACACACACATCCACACAGCCACACGCTCTCTCCCCGGTAATAAACACGTCCATCTTCATCCACTCATGCTTGCCTACACTTCCCCCATTCTCATAGCCTTTCATCTGAACCTGTAGGAACTGGGTGATGACAATAAACAGACTCAACACTCTAGATCCTACAGGCATTTACTACAACAGGTCTACCCTCAAAACACTTTAAATCCAGTAAGAGATGAAACAGGGCACCAAGAACATTCTTATTTGAAGCAGACTGTGGGTGAGTTAAAATCACACAGAAATTCCAGAGAGGGTCCCTTCCCTCTGGGAGGAAATTCAAGATCATATTTGAGTTAATACCATACAGATTAGATTAAACTGTCTCAATTTCTTTCATCATTCTTTTCTTTTTTTTTTTGCCATGTTGTTTGCAGAAGTCTCCTTTATGCAACATATTTTCTTTTGTGATCTAAATGGAAATTTTGCTAGTTCGTGGAGACTTTAGACCATTCTTACTTATTGTTGTAACTGCCACACTGGGTCAGTTCTATCCGAGTCTGATGTTTCCTACACTTTATGCTTTCTTGTTGACATCTAGCTCATGTATTTTGTTTTATGAACCAAAAGAGATGGGACTTGAGCACAAATTTAACAAAAAAAAATTTTCAGCAGGAGAAACATTACAGGGAATGAATGAATGAATGGAGTGAAGAATTAGTAAGGAAGCAGTAGGTGGAAAGAGGAGGATGTTAGGGGCATCCATGTCAATACTCCCCAGTGGTGACCAAAATCTGGTGCTTTCTGTACCCCAGGCTCACCCCTCTCCTACCCCACACTCATCCCCCCACCTTGCACTCACTCCTCCCCACAGAGCAGCTAATAATCAGGTTGATGAGTCTGGCTTCTGTCCTCCCTCCTGCTTTCCCACCTGCCTGCCTGCAGAGAGGGTGCGCTTGCCTCGGTCACTACGGGGGTCAGACGCTGCCCCTTGGAGGAGAGTCCGGCTGTGGCCCAGATCGCCCACGTCCAGGTGAGAAGTCTACCTGAGAGCTGGAGAGGTAGCAGCCCTTTTAGCTGCCACTTTGTTCAATTCTAAAGCGGGCGTCCAACGCCTCATGGGCCTGGAGACTGCACGTCTCACTCCTCAGCGAGCTCTAATCTCGGAAGGGGAAAGAGGGCACTTTGTGTCGCCCCTGCTCTAGTGGAAAACCAGGAAGTGGGAGGGAGCTGATTCGCTCTTCCTGGCGGAAGCACATTTTACAAGAATGTCAAGTATGAAATCCTTCTGTACGTATGAAAACATTACATGATGCCCAAACGCTGAGTGTTACCAAGCTGGAGGAGAGGAGAGCGAGATCAATTATGCACATTCAGCTGGAGCGTGGTCCCTTCCCAGCCCTCCTCCATGCCCAGCATGGCTCCTCTGGGTCCTCACTCACCTTTGGGACCCACTGGTCCAGAGGGTCCTTCCAGACCCCCCTGCCCGGGCTGTCCTGGCTCCCCGATGGGGCCCGCCCGGCCCGGAAGCCCATCTTTTCCAGGGGGCCCCGGGGGCCCGGGTCGGCCTTGAGATGACTTCACATGCACTGGGGGCCTCTGGGCCAGGAGGTAGGCGAGTCTGGCTGCAGAGGAGGGAAAACAGAGATGGTCACGAAGGAGGGCGATGGACAGGAGACGGGCCAGGACTCACTGTGCAGCTCAGAACTCGGGAGACTGTAAGCAGCACAGAACACCAGCGAGATCAACCTCACACAGCCCAGCCAGGGCGCCCGTCCCAGGGCAGCCTCCGCCGGCTGTGGGCCTCGGGCCAGCTACTCGACCTCTTTGAGCCTTCACGTCCTTGTCTGGAGAATGGAGACAATGCAATCACGGCCACCCCACCCGGTGGGCGTGAGGACAGGCACGTGAGATGAGGCATTAGGACTGTGCTCAGCAGATGCCGGTGGTGCCCATCACGGCACGACTGGCGGCTGGGACAGTACCCACAGCAGAAGGGGTTGCAGTAATTGCCAGCTGGGGAAGCTGAGACTGGGGGTGAGACTTAGGGGCTTACAGAGCAATGTAGAGTCACATTTCTCCTCTATACACCGAAGGGCTGGGTATGATGTCACTGAGGAACCTTACATGTCTAAAACGCAAAGACTATAGAACTGGTCAAAAACCCAGAGGTCCATGGCTTTCCACCACACTGGGGATACCGTGCCCATCTGATGGCCACCGAGAGACTGTCACACGTAGTCAGACCCAGCTCTTCTACCTGCAGGTGGGTGACTGAGCCCAGAGAGGCTGGAGGGTCTCCCAAGGCCCTGGTGTTTTGGTGATAAAACCAAGGCAGAGTCAGGGTCTTCTGAGCACCCTGGGGATTGGCTTCCCACGAGCACCATCCTCCCATCTTCCTGCACGAGGCGGCGGGTGGGGTACAATCTGTGTCTGAGGCCTGAGCGAATGGCTGAACTTCTCTGAGCTCTGATTTCCTCATCCTTAAAGTAGAATTGATGCTTGCTCTTCAGAAGGCTGTTTGAAAGAAAGGACCCTGCCCAACAGATGCTCCATCTGAACTTTGTTCAAAACAGGTCTTGTTTCTGCTCTTGGGCTGGAAACTCCCCAAGGGCAGAAGCCATTTCTGTCACTAGTAAATCTAAGACTCAGAAAGCAGAGCTCAGAGATGCCCACGGGGGAGACCTCGGAACACAACCTGCCCAGTGGCAAGTGCCATTCCAGCCTCTGGTTTCCTTCCTTTTTTCAACCCACGCCCCTGCCATGTTTCCCAGGTAATGGTCTTGGGCTCTCCTGTGTGTGGAGAGGGACCATGCTGGCCTGGCCATTCGAAGAGGGCTGGGATGGGGGGCACCTTGTCCAACGCTCTGTCCCCAGACCCAACCCACAGTCAGCCATATGGTTGGTGCAAATAACTCTGAGACGTGAGCATGTGAATAAACGCGCCCTCCCATTTTGTCCATCTGGGTCCTGGAAGAGTTATGGATGTCTGATCTTCCCTATCATAGGCTGCCCATGACTTTCCTCCCCTAACAGCTTCCAGCCCAGAGGGAGGTGGGGACAGCTGCCTGCACACAAATCCTGCTAGACGCTTACCAAATCTCCCATGTCCAGTAAGTTACTCGGCATCTCTGCTCCTAACACTCAACATGCCTCCTGCTCTTCCATGAGTCGCCTTGTGAGCACGTAGGAAACCACCTGACCTACAGCAAGCCCCACACGCTGGTGTTACTGTTACCTCCCGACCTGGCTCCCTCCCTGAGCACCTGCTGTATGCCAGGCTCATGCAAGACTGTGGGATTTAACAATAAGTCCAATACACTTGGACTGAAAGGGACCTAGTTCCATGAAAGCACTATGTATCCCCGCTGCCCTCGGGACTGAATGCACAGAATAAATGAGGGATGGAGGCAGAGCTGGTTCTGTGGATGGGAGCTCCCCTAACCGGGGGTATTCGAGCAGAGGTAAAGACAAGCTCTGGACAGGGCTCCGTGTGTCTAGAGCCTGCACAGTGTTCCTCACGGTTCTGCACGATTGCTACACGGGAGCTGCTCTCCACGAGCCTTCTCCAAACCGGGTTGGGGAAATACTGAAGGGTGCAGAAGGGATGGCTTCCCAGGCTCCTCAAGAGGCCCTTGTGTGCCCGGCTGTGGTCAAGTCCAGCTACTCACTTCCCAGCTGTTTCTCTAGCTCTTCTTGGATGAGCCGTCGCAGGGTGTCCATGGAGGGGGACTCCCCCTGCAAGGAGAGAAGGTGAAGGGGAAATTACTTATCTCCCCGGTAAGTCCTGCCACCCAAGACCCCTGATGGCTCCGGGAACCAGGAGGGGCAAGGCAACACATAGCACATCGTCCTGGTCCAATCCTTCTCACGCCCAGAAGCACCTCCCTTTGCCTTGGCCACGCAGGCAGCATCCTCCTATTTGATACGGTGACCTGAGGCCTCTGGTGCCACTCTTTCCACGCCCTTCCCGCTCCTTAGCTGCAGCTTCTTCCTGCAGAAGCCACTTCCCCAGAGCCAACCTGAGAGCTCCAGCCCTGCACCTCTCCCTGCCAAAGCCCCGTCCACTTCCGGCGCCGCTCCCAGGCTGCCTCCTCCACGGAATTGTCTTTGATTTCCCTGACCAGCCGCTTGGCCACGCCGGCTCCCAGGGTCTGGTTTTCCTTGCTCTGTTCACCTTGGCCCTCCCCAGGTGCCTGACCCTCCTGGTGCCTGATTCATAGACGCCGGTGGCTCACACAGTGACATGTGATTCCTAGAGGAATCTGTGAGAGCAGCCCTCACGCCGCATTGGCCAGACCCCTCCCTCTTGCCCGACTCCTTCAGGGCTGCGTCCCCACCCTCAAGGGCGAAGCTCTCCTCCCTGCTCCTGTCTGCAGCCCCAGCACCCGGGACAGTGCCCAGCATGAGCAGGACAAGAATTCCAGGTCCTTATTCTGTTGATTCTTTTCTGGTCCCTCTTTCATGCTCGTCCCAGAACTTCATCGCTACCCACAGCAGCAGGACTAGGAGAACTCAGCGAGGACCCCGGGGGCTGTGGAAGCGCCCCGCCTCCCACGGCCCCCCTTCCTGGACTTGGCTGAGAGCCAGGCTCTGGGAAGCAACAGAGCGTCAGAGCTGCCAGGGACACTGGAGATCACCTAGACCTGCGCTCTGAGGACGGGAGGGTCCCCAGGGGACCACAGGGCTGCTAAGAGGGGAAGGCGAGGTCACGTGGACCTAGAACCCACCCCACCCCCAACCACTCCTACCTGGGCGGCTCTGCTTTTTTCTCCAATGTGTGCTCGTGTTACAGGTTTGTGTAAAATAAGAGTTCTGTCACTAGAATAAACTATTTCGAGAAAAAAACACTAAATAAGCTTGTCCTTTCATGTCCCCCTCAAGTTGAGGCAACACTGGAATCCTTACCCTCAGTCCTGGAAATCCTGGCTGGCCCGGAGGCCCCGGGGGCCCAGCCAGTCCATTCTCCCCGGGAGGTCCTTGGGGGCCCATCAGGCCCGTGTAGCCTTTGTGACCAGGGATTCCAGGGTCCCCAGGCTGGCCCTTTCCACCAGGAGGTCCTTTGTCACCTTTGTTCCCGGGATCTCCCTGGAGGAGGGGAAGAAACATGTCAGTGAGCAGAGGGCTAGCAAGTGCACCCAGTGTAGACAGGCCCGCTGCAGCTGTGTGCAGCTCCCTGGTCCCCAGGTCCTCTCTCCTGGAGCCCTGGACAGGAGACCTCAGTCCTGGCAGACCTGTGTCTCAGAGCCAAGACACAGGAGGACACGGGCCTCCAGACACAAAGCCACCTGTCACCATCACACAGGTAATGTGCAGAGGACAAGATGAGAACTCTGACTTCCAATCCCAGTCCGTGTGGCTTCATGCGCGTGCCTCGGGAAGGCCAGCCGCTGAGCCTGACCGCCGAGCGGCCACTCCTCCAGTTTGCTCTGTCAGCTGGACGGACAGAGTTACTCTTTCGACAGAGGCGCCGCCTCTTGTAGGTGGCCTCCCGCACCCTACTCTTGGCTTTCGTGGGCCCACATGGGATGACACTGACCAGACTCTTCTCCCCATCTCTGACCCAGCCCCTGAAGACCCGGATCAATGATTTGGGAACCACGGCGACCACCAGACCATCCGGTCCTCTGCCCGACGCACTACTGTGGGTGTGACCAGCAAGTCCTGGTTTTTGGTGGGTCTGAAAATAGATGGCCACGTTGGCGAGCTCAGGGTGTTAACAGGACTCCCCTGCGGGCAGATGGCAGTCGGGGCGAACGAGAGGGGAAGCAAGATCATAGCTGGAAATGGAGCATGGCCATGGACGTGACCCAGAGCCAAGGACAGGGAAGACTGCAGGCATGAAACTATGTCCAACCTATATGCTTGAAGAGAAAAAAATAACGGACAAAATTTGATATGTCCCAGGGCTTTAACAAAAGGCAGATACAGATTTATAACACACACGGTTCACACGCACAGACTCTAGAGGACGAAAGGAAAATGTCCCGCGACGGACCCTGGGAAGGGGACGGGGGCCGTAACGGGCACCAAGGTGGAGGAGCACCTACTTTTCATTGCATCCACTTTTTGCAATGGTTAACTGTATGTCTGTATTGCCTTTTCAACAATAATAAAGGACAGTGGATTTAAAATGAAGTTATCCAGATTGGAGGGACAGTCTTGACTTAAATTTCTCAGATATGATGCATTTCATGGGACCTTTGTCATCTGTCAGTGATCAGGGGTCGGTGATGGTCCTGGCGCTCCGAGCTCCTGGATGCCGAGACCCTATCACAGCTGTGGTACAGCACTTCCTATTCATTAAATGTCTCAATATCACTTTGCGGGGGGAGGACTCGTCCCAAACTTCAAATGTCCCCAGGAGTGCAAAGGAATGAGGAGCCTGACGGCTCCCTGGCAATGTTCCATGAAACCACTTAACAGGGAGAAGGCAATTCTCCACTTATTGATTAGGTATTAGAGAGGAGATTCCTATTTGTGGTCTGAACTCCCTGGCTGCCAGCCAGAGCTCCCAGGAGCACCTGTGTGGCACTGGGGTGGGGGCCCCTCAAAATGCCTTCTCAGCCACACCCCCCGCCCCGGCTCCATCCTCAGGAACCAACGACCAGAACGCAGAGGAATCAAGTCACTCAGAAGTAAGGAGGGAAAGAGATCTGGAGGGGTTGACAATCTCTGACACTCTCTGCTTCCACGGCTCTGTGTCCTTGGACCTGCAGGAGGTGCAGCTCCTCACCCACCCAACTTGCAAAGAAAGCAGAGATAAATTCTCGGCAGGACCATGGCAAACAAGCCGGGGGTGGGGTGTGGGGTGGTGGTGACATTCACATGGTGCAACAGTGTGAAGGGGGACGGCTGACCAAAGGGAGGGTTGTGGGCAAACGAGAGGCTTAATTCCTCTAAAGGGAGTGGCCGTTGTCACAAGGGTGAGAACACCCCCTCCCCTCACTGGCATTTCTGGGGGGGGGGAAAAAAAGCCACTAAACCAAAAAAAAACCTCCCCCTGTTGTTTTTTGGAGGAATGAAATGTAAAGAAAGGCTTCCTGAGTGTGGCGCCAAGGCGATTCATTATGGAAAAAATCTGTTCCCTTGTCACCTTCAGCGACAAATCTGGCTCCTGGCAAATTGGCATTTTGGGAGCTGAGCACGTCATGCCCAGGCGCTCGTACAGGGAGAGGGAAATCTGTCAAAGTCTCAGAACGCTCGCCTTTGAATTTGTAATTGCAATGATTTTACTCCTTAAAATAACATCCAAAAAGAAAAAAAAAAAAAAGGGAAAGTAACAACATTCACTACAACAATCCCTTCGTGGGCTAATGATTTTCCAGGGAGCGGCAGACCCACAAGCTCCCCGGGCTTGGCTGTTGTTCACTGACCGCCAGGGACAGGGTCCCCATGCTGCCTAGCAAAGGTCACATTCGGTAACTACCTCCCCCACTTACCCTGTCTCCTTTGGCTCCTGGCTCTCCGGGCTTCCCGGGGGCTCCCTGCAAAGAGTCCAAAGGAGGATGATCACTGAACAGGGCCACCCATCTGCGACCCTGTGTGCCGAGCACAAGTGGTATCTGGGAAATCAGACACCCCAGGAGCCCCTGTCTGTCTGTCTAGATGTTGCAGGCACCCCATCCTTCCTCCTCTGTGCACCCTGGACTGATGGCACCAGCCCTTTTAGGATTCCTCCTCTGCCTTTTCCAGGATAGATCCCTCTCGCCGAACACACTCAGGAGACCCTGCAGGACGTGGACTTTGAAAGGCGCTCGCTGCCCGTGGCCTGGGCTACCTCGCCTCCCACCGACCCGAAGGACCTCCACGTCCGTGACTGCCCACCACAGGGAGCACACGGTTCTCCCTCCTCCTGGCCTCTGAGGCTCACCTTCCTGCTGCCTGCAGCGCACTCCCCTCTGCCCTGCACGGAATGTCTGTGCCCCCCAAGTGTATATGTTGAAGCCAGAATCCCCAGGGTGACTATTAGCAGGTGGGGTCTTCAGGAAGTACTCAGGTGTAGATAAGGTTGCGAGGGTGGCCCCATGATGGACATAGAGAGACAGGCATCGAGACCAGGGGGCCGGCTAGTGTAATTAGGGAAGGATGGCATACCATCTGCTGACACCTCGATCTTGGACTTGCCAGCCCCCAGAACTGTGAGAAATGTCTGTTTCTCAGCCACCTAGTCCAGGCTAATTGTGTGGCAGCCAAGCTGACTAATCACGATCCCTCTGTCTGTGATCAATCCCACCAGGCCTTCAGGCCTCCCTGCCAGGAAGCCTCCCCTGACCACCCAGCACCTAGGTACTAGGGACCCCACACCCCTCCTGGAGGGCGGTCACACAGCCTTGTAGTCCCCACTGCTAGGATACTCCCTCCTTGCTTCTGTGACCCTCCCCAGCTGGAACCTCTCTCTACCCCACTTTGCCCCCAGCCCCTCTGCCACCTCCCTTGCAAAGGAACACTGGCCAGTGTCTGCCCTCATGCATGGGTTCCCGGGCCACCAGCTGCCCTGTAACTCCTGTTGTCCCCAGACAAGGTGACAGCAGTGTTGCCCTTGGACAACAAGCACCTGGAAGGCAGGTCCTGTGCTTACCCACCCCTGGGCTCCACTGTATCGACCCAAACTCCACTGTGCACTTAGTTCAAGAATACAAACTGCAGGGGCGCCTGGGTGGCTCAGTCGTTAAGCGTCTGCCTTCGGCTCAGGTCATGATCCCAGGGTCCTGGGATCGAGCCCCGCATCGGGCTCCCTGCT